CCGGCAAACGTTGTTTTGCCATATGAATTATTTCTAGAGTATAAAAATATATCTTATTTATAGTAATTGTGTGCGTATGTGGTATATGAGTGGAAGAGGCATGGAGTGCTGTGAGCGATGACGGAATGGGAAAATAACAACACACCAAATAATAATTTTTTTAATTTATGTTAATTTTTTTTATAAATTATATATACTACGAATTCTGAAAATATTAGTCAACAATACTAATCTTTTAGTGCAATGGAGTGTACAATATTTTTTGTCACTCCATCTTTAGCTAACACAAATAAACTGGATGGTTTGCCCACTCGAGAGAATACCACGTATTCTCTTCGTCAGTGTGAAAAACATGGTGTGCTCAAATCTAAGCCACAAACAGACATTGTTTGGCCTTGTCATTGCAAATGCTAATCTAATGGGGAACTGAATGCGTTCAAATTGAATTGGAACATATGTGGGTATAATAGGGATTCATGAAAGTAATATACTTTCACCTCGGAATTTGCCATCTAAAATAATGACTTCCATAACGTTGTTCATTAATTTTTTAACGACTAATCGCTTGCCGTTGCACAGCCATGGTGGGTTCAAATTACGAAGCAAAATAACCGGAGATCCAACTTTGGGTACTAAATTATGCGGTGGTATGCCTGGTAAATCCAATGAGTTTAAAAACCCTGCTGGAAAATTTTCAGCTTCATTGGGATCGCAAACTGCATCAACGGATTTTTATGTCACCAAGTTACCTGGCAATAACTGTTGAATCTTCAGATTCAATTCGTTGCCGTCCTCATTTTTTGCTGCTAAGATCGCCCTTTCTGCCAACCACTCATGATGGATGTATTGCGTGTGTACAGTTCGCAAAAAAAAAACGAATCACCCTGAATAACTTTCGTTCTAATCATCGGATTTTCACGAACTAAGTGTCAATCTTAATGGTTCGTGGGGGTGACCTCAAATATGCTAATTAATTGGTGCTAACTATTAATTAAGTTACCAAATCAGACATAAAAACGTACTTTCTCTGAATAAACATACATTTTTTTTTTTACATATTTGGATTCTGAACCTTAAAAATTTAGGGGGTAGCCGCAATCTGGGAAATAGTTTGATCAGGAGACCACGTAGTCTGATCAGTTAGTAATAATTTGACCACGTAGTTTGATCAGGAGAGCGATCCAAAGTTCGTACCCCTTAATGTTAATTTCACTTTTTGCGTTTTTAGTCATAATTTTGAAACTAATAAAGCAATTCAATGAAAATTGCATCCACTCATAAAACTCATTTACCCAAAAATAATTTCATGAAAAAAAATAATATTTAACAATTATTAATTATTTTTTATTATTTAATTAAATTGAGGATGAAAAATTTTTGAATTATGAGGTATGAATTTTTTATACCATATTAATCTACATATTCTTTAATTGAAAAATCTAAATTTTCAACTGTTTTTATTTATTAGAAGTTGTGAAAAAGTAAAATTAATTATTTTCAAAAAAATAATTTGGCGACAATAAAGAAATAATTAAATGGGGCGATTAATATTAAAATGTGATAAACTTGCGAGGAACTTGACTTCGCGCGCGTAGCGTAAAATTTCATTCATATTTTTTTCGCTAATAATCGTTTGCTAATTTTTTTATTTTTTTTTCTTCCAAACTATAAAATACGATGTTTATTTTTTAGTCGCTTAATAATTTGTTTGCAATTTAGTAAAGAAATTTAAATAAAACATTTTGAATAAAAAACACTTTATTCAACGAATGTCTAGTTCTATAAAAGCGTGCTTCTAAAAGAATATGATTATACACCAGATTGTGCTTATTTAATATGATTATTTTTTATTTTTTGATTTTGTTTTTCAATAACTGATACAACTTTAATAATGTACATATAATAATATACATAATAATATACGTATGAATAGTTTTGGAATAATATATTTATCAATTTCTTGAATATATATTTTATAAATATTAATAAAAATACGTAGTCAACATCTCTCACAACATCGCAAATTTCTCAACATCTTATAGGGTAAACTAAACAATGGAGTAACACGTAAGCTTAGCTTGTCTTTAAAAAAAAATCATGAAAATTTCAAAATTTGTAATTTTAGCTAAATGATGGTGTCGACATATTTGTAATTAAATGCAAATTATGTAAAAAAAAATTTATAACTTACATAATATTGTTTTAAGCTTTTGGTGGTTTAAATAATAAGTAGCAAGATAACCAAGTTGAAGGAACAGTTCTTACCAGTGAATAAACGCAAAATTTTCCAGTGAATGAACACTTAATTTTGAGAATGTTTGATGCTCGTTAGGGATCCATAGGCCACACAAATGTCTAAAAACAAGATTTTTTTTCGAAATACAACGTATAACCACAATTAACGGGGAAAATGTTACCTTTAATTTCAATCATGGAATGGAAAATAAAATATGTTTGAATACATAATTTTTAAAAAAAGATTTTCATTTTTTTTCTCACAGTTTAATAGTCCGTTTTAAATTATGAATGTTTATCATTGTGTAATCCGATGATGTTCTTATTATTATTATAATTAGATCACTTTTTTCTTTACTCTTTTCCCCATATTTTTTAAGCTTTTTTTTTCAAATCTTTCTAAGTATTTTCTTTCTCTTCGTCATACTTTCTGCTTTTTTTCCAGCTCTTTCAATCTCTTTAAATTTTCGATCTTTTTCTGAAGTTAATGCAAAAAAGTAATTTATTTATTTTTCCTTTGATTTAACCTTCCTCTTTTTTCCAATAAAAAAAATAATAAAAAAATAATCACATTAAATAAGCACAATCTGGTGTATTCTATCAATTAGAAAATNTGGCGCCATCTATGGCCAAGAATTCGACTTCTGCCATACCAATACGTCGCACCCGTTTATAGGGCGGACCCATTCATACATCCATCCACCGATCGTAATTTTGACCTGAATCAGAGAACGATCGATCTCTAATCCTGTACCCCCCAGAGGTAATGATTTGTTATGGGAACATGGAGTAATTTTGTGATTCGACAGATTTTACGTGCATCAGTCACTTTTCTACACGGAGAGTCTTCGGTAGGCGGGGTTCGAACCCACGAACTGTTGGACATGGGCCCAGCACCCTACCGACCAGGCTATCCCGGCCCGTAGTTGGTGGTAAATGTAGCTCATTGTAATTGAAGAATATGCTGTGCGACATTTTATGGCGAATTTGCGAACGTAAGTTTCAGAATGTATCGAAATATGAGAATGCTATTTGTGCTAATCATCTTTATCCAAAGAAAACCATGCAACCTAAATATCTAGCAGAATGAAGCGATTTTTTGAACAATCAATCATACAATATGCAAGATATTATTTCAATATCTTTTTCTTAAACATAACATATTTCAATGTTTTTGAAATGCCACTTAATATTCTAAAATTCCTTGAATTACAGAAAAAAGAAATATCGTAAATTATAGAAAACGTTGTGAATGTACATTAGAATTACTGTACAATCTACATTTTATTTTTCAGGCACTTCAAATTTTTTCGCCTAGAAGACTCGATTAAAGCTGTAAAAATAATTATCTCTAAAATTTTGTATATACTTATAATAAGTTTTGTAAATTTGATTTTAGTATGAAATCCTCGTATAAATGTAGTAAAAACAACAACAAAAAATCCAAATAATGTCAGATAAAAAGTTTATGTATTTAAATTCTAAAAGCTTAGAAAATCATGAATAATTTATAAATCGATTCTTTTCAAAAGAGATAAAGAGAAAAAAAATCTTTGCTTTTTGGACAGAAATCAGCTTGAAAATTGTCTATTGCCTAGAAACTTCGAGATATTTTCTATTAACTATTAAGTAAACCTCTCCAAGCAATCACAGAACATTATTTCAATATTTTTTTTATAGACAGAACTTGGTTGCTTAGCAACGGAGTAAAATTAAGTATTTCTCTTTTGAATCAGTCTATGGGTTATCTTAAAATATGCATTTGCGGCGGCGACTTTTGTTGGCTGTATTCTGGACTATCACCAAATATATAAATCTTTATTACGACCCAATTTTCGAATTAAGTTTTTCGAAATTTCCTATACTCCTTTCTTTCAAGTGTCAGGATTCCAAATATGTAAAACATATATGTTTAATCAAGTGCATTTTTGTGTCTGATTTTGTAACTTAATTAATAGTAAGTGATAAATAATTAGTATATTTGAGGTCAACCCTAGATATCATTAAGATTGACACTTAGTTCGTGAAAATTCGATCATAAGTACGAAAGTTATTCAGGGTGATATCTGCTTTTTTTTTGGGAGGGGGGGGGTGACTGTACCAATAAACCAATCAATCGTTTAATGTTATAATTCCGTCTCCAAACATGACATACATTTGAAAGTTAAAACTTATGACTTTGAATGTTAAAAATAACAATTTTATTACACATTAGTCATTTTTATTACACTGGTTGAGAAAATTTACAAGTAGTTTAAAATTTTTTGTTGATAAGGATATCTTGATTAACTGATTGTTTCATTGAACATTACTATTGAATCGCCAAAGGTTCAATTCCAACAGCGCATTTTTTATTTCTCATTTTGAATTCCGATTACTGGTTGTGAACTCCAGCTGTACTGAGTATGTCATCGAGTCCCTCCTTGATTCCTTCAAAAATAATGAATTTTCATTAAAAACATTCAAAATAAAAATTTAAATTAAGAAAATCAGTAATAAAATAAAATAAATACTTTCTAAAATTCATATTGTGGAGAATGATAAAAAATTTATCTTTTCTGGAAATATACGGCAGAGTTTACACGAGAATCTTTTTTATGAATTTCAAAACTCGAATCGATAAAAAAAAAATTCTTAAAAATTAATCACAAAAATTATTTAAAAATTTATTTTAAATCATAAATTTAAAAAAAAATCATACAGAAAATATTTGTGTTAGTGGTATGAAACTTTATGTATTAATACTTTTTTAAAAGAATTGTGTCCATCACTACAGATAATTTAAACGAATATAAATGTTAGATAGACAAAACCTCCAATTGGTGACCCCGGAGGAAAGCGAGGCAGTAAGTCACTAAACCCCTTTCTCGTTTTTACTAATGTCATAATTGCTTTATTTTTTGAACCTCAGTTAACACTAGATTGCCTAAGGAAGGCATTTTGACTGCTTTTAATTTAACTTTCCTTTCCTTTATTTATCAAAAACTGGGCAACTGGGGCCTCTCAGAAGCCCTTATCCAATTCATCATGAAAGTATTAAATACATTGAATTATAAACATATTGGGTTTAGCATCATTATGGTAGCTATGCATTTAATTTCAATCAGAAAAACAACAATGACACAATTTCTTAGAATTTTGTGCAGCATATAATTTTTCTTATTGTTACTAATAACTTGTTATAAAACTGTAAACAATATTAAAAAATATTAAAACTTAAATTTAAGCGAATTCCCTTACACATTATTTATTCTTATACAATCGAGTCATGCCGGTCAGGTGGCCGAGCGGTTAGCGTGCCTGACTGCGAAGTGGCTGTGGGTTCGAATCCCGCTCTGGGCATGGATGTAACTCTCTCTCTCTCTGTGTTCTGTGTCCTTTCTTCTGTGTGATTGTGTGAATGGAACCCGCCCTATAAACGGGTTTGTGGTTGCATGACGTGTGCGACGCTACTCCACTGTCGTGGCTTAGCCATAGGTGCTCACTAACGAGAGGAGAGTAGCAATTCCGGCATTTCTGAGGCCGATGGGAAATAGACACAAGTGCCCAACCATTAATCAAAAAACAATTCTGTCATTTTGACTGCTTTTGGGCAATATAGGTATATACTAAGTTTTTGTCTTTCTAGTGTTAATGCAACTGATCCCTACTCTTCTCACCTTCAATTGAGCTTCGACTATTTTTAAATTATACTCACACAGACGAATAAGTTAGAGGCCCTAACGGGGCTGATAGATAGATTTCTATATCACATAGGCATAGGTTCCAATTGCCGATCATGATTTGTATCAACTATTTTTTTTTAAGTAAAAGTACCACTTTAATATATTTAACTAAACTTTAAATACTTAAATTAAATTCTAGTTCAGTACCAAGTTAAATTCCAGCTCAGTTAAACTAAATTCTAGTTCAGTACCAAGTACTGAATGAATAAAAAATAGCTACCTTTAAGACAATTGAACAGTTAATAAAATTTAAATTGACAGTTTGTTGAATCGGACATTCTATGTACGTTTTTAAAAATTGGAAGGAAACATTTTCAATTTATTTTAATACCAATTATTTTGGATTTTGTGGAAGATTCTTTTCTTCCATTTAAATTAGTGATACATTTTGATTAATATTTTAATAAAATTGTTTTATTAATATTTTGCGTAAATAGATTTATCTTGTCATTAGTCATTTTTACGCTTCACATTTCATCTTATGATAGTTCATTTCTTATATAAAACTTTATACAACTAGTTTTTTCCCCATTTATTATTCTAATAGAGTTTTACTCATCATATTATGCTTATTACTGTTGATACCGGTCACTTCAATTTGGTCGCCTTTTTATACACTGTGTGGATTGATTTTTTTTAACCTTCGAGATCATTTCCGACCTCGCTATGCCCCTCCCCTTTTCCTTTTTACATTGTATTTCGTACTTTATTTAATTCCGTTTTATATCTTCCGACTCATAATTCTGACGAATCATTAAGAACCGAGATTACGCATACTTCGTAAACTCGTAATTGCGACCACTTGGAAGAATATTTAATAAAGCAACAGATTACCGTAATGGCTGGAAGCAGAGACCTCCTCTCACAGTGATCTCCCAACGCGCCCTGTCCCACAGTGAACTGATTGTTGAGACACGGCTCCCAACAAATCACAGAAGTCAGGCATCACTGGCTGTGGTCAGAAGGCGGATGGGTGATCACTTTGATCAGCCTGCGTAGGGGCCTCTTTAAACTTTTCTACTGTAAAGTGCTCGACTTCGCGAGCAGGTCGTCAGGCTACCAGAGAAGGGGAGCCGTCCTCCTTGCAGAGAATCAAAATTGCGATGTCATGTCTTCCTATCATCTTCAGGGATGTTTCCCAGACTGTCGCCAATAGCCCAATGTACAGCTTTAGTGCGACGTAAATAAATTACTTACCTACCTTATTAAATATTGCATATTATGAAACTATACTCACCACCTAAAATTCCCATTCCTTGTTCTGTTTCTTCTGGTTCTGGTGCTGCTCCTGTTTGATAATGGTGGACTTTTGCCATTGCTAAAACAAATAAACCAAAAAAGTTTAGAAATTCAAGTTAATTTCTGTGCATGTAGTTGCTAAGGGCTTAAAAACTTATTCGAATTTAGGATATTAATTTGCTTCCTCTCTTTAGAGAAAACATAAAAAATAGAAAATAAAAAGGAACAATCTAAATTTATTGTAAACTATGCTATAAAAATATTGGAATTAAGAATACACTTGAAAGTGATTTTTTTTGTTGTAATAACTTAGGATTAAATATTTATTAATTTAATATTAAAGAATTTTTTCAGTGCTTACACGTTTTTAACAAACATTAAGATATTTGTTTATTTAAATTATGACGTTAGTGTTTCTGTGAAAACATAGCTTTAACGTGATACAGATAAACACTAATGAAAGATTCGGATTATTTCTTTCGTTTTTCATATTATAAAACAATTATGAAAAGTTCTATTTTTACAATCAAATTAGGTAGAAACACTATATCGCTTACTTGTTCCCATAAAATCGTACTGAATTTGAAACGTGAAATGTTTAGTCACAGAATTTGATGATGAACTAATAAAAGTAAATTTACTGTGTAAGTCTAATGAGATTAATCATCCGAAGATTTAATGGTTTCTCAAATTACATAAAATTTCATTGTATGCGTTCTTACCTAAGAGTTTTAACTTAGTATTCTTTTAAATAGCTATACTATATGAAACATCGGTTCAAGTTTGAATCATAGTATCAAAACCTAGAAAGACAATTCTGATAAAACTTGCTGCAAACTTACTAAGGTATTGAATTAAAAAATAAACTTTAATAAGGTATCAAATGGGTATCAATTAGGTATCAATTTAATAAGGTATCAATTAATAAGGTATCATGTTTTTTCATACTTTTCTTGATTTACCTAAACTTTTACTTAACATGTTCTTCCATAAGCGTTTTAACTTAGTATTCTTCTAACAAACTATACTATGTGATAAATCGGTCCAAGTTTGAATCATAGTATCGAAACCTTGAAGTACAATTCTGTTATGACTTGCTAACATATATAACATATTTGAACGAATAACAAAAGTAATAATTAACAAGTTTGTTGCAACCTTTATAAGGTATTAAATATAACCGAAAGGCTTTATGTGATATAAATTGAATCTGATACGTTGATATTTTCTCTAAAACTTTGTACGCTTTTCCACGAAACTTTTCAGTTTTGCATTCATGAAACTATCTATATTTTGAGAAAAATCTGCTCAATGTTATACCGCAATATTGACATCTGGTAGCTTAATAAGGTGTAAATTTTTTACGCGTTTTAAGTTATTGAATCTAACCATGTTTTCATTCAAATTAAAACCATAGTATTTCGTATTTAATTTTCTTTTGAACTATAATGTACATTACCGTATTAAAGTCGCAGAAAATTTGAGCAATATTATTCTTCAACCACGCTCCGAATTTCTAACAGTATAGGAAAAAACTTACCTGAAACAGCAAAAACAGCCAACACTACAAGAACGAAGAGGAAACGTTGGAAAGACATATTGTAATTTGAGCTGTAGAACAATTCTGAAACTCTCTCAGGTAGATGCTGTATTTATATTCAAGAAAAACTACGGGATAAAAATATTTAATTTTTTTCATGTAAGACAGCGCAATGTCGAATTTTATTATATTGTTAGTTTTTTCTACCGAATTTGAAGAAGATCTTTATTGCGTTTATTATTTTTATTGCATATTTTATGTTTTATATAATAAATTTATGGTTTATTGAAAATATTAATTTCAAACTTCAAATATTTGAGTAGCGTTTAAATACAGATAAACAAGTAAAAGTTTTATTACACAATACATGGCGAAGATATACCAAATGGTTATATTATATCATCAGCATCAAGAATTTGTAGTATTATGAGGTTCATTACTCTTTTTTTTGTTCACAAAAATATTGTTTAAGATAAATTACAAATTATATGCAAAATTGTTTTATTTAAGCAGCTGTATTAATTTGCCTTGCAAGATGGTTGAAAGTCCTTATACAGCAAGACGGAAAAGAGCAAAAATTGATACTATAGTCATTTCATTCTGGGAACTTTTTTCTTTCGAAAAATAAAATAGTAACTATCAAGATTTATTTTATAATTTTAGCATACACACAAAACTGCTTCTTTTCCGCGATTAACCTTTTCGGGACGGGCGAGTCACAAATGTAGTTGCACGGAATCAGAATCAGGATTTTAAAAAATAAAAAGTGGGAGCTTAAGTTTGGGCATAGCTATTTTGACAGACTTACTTCTGCTTTCACTTTAAATCTAACACATCCAATCCTTGCGTGTTAAAAGTGTAACTATACAATTTTCAATTCGAATTAAGTCGTGGTGAATTAAATAAAGCAAACTATTGTTATCCCGTCTACTAAAAAAATAGTTTGGCTACCAGTTTTATCTTTTTTAATCCTAAGAATGCATATATGACTCACCCGTCTCGAAGTGGTTAAGTCGATATTATTGAATAGTTTGAAAAAATAATAAGTAAACACCTCCCGAAAACTAGCTATAATATATTTTGCCTTTTCCAGCTGAAATATATTTTGCCTTTCTCAACTTCATATTTATGTGAAGTCGCTTTTTCAGCATTCGTGGACATTAATTCGAATTTTTTTTTCCAATGCGCCCCTGAAGAATGACTTAGGTCATACAGTCATCTGAAGGGCAAATTTGTTGACCACTCTTTCAGGGGCACCCTTAGGTGGACCAACGTTGCTCCCACAGTAAGGACAGATAGTAAAGAGAATGAAAGAACATCCATGCCTTGCTTGGGATTCGAACCCAAAACCTTTCTGATGCAAGGCCAGTTCCCTGACCCCTACACAGGCCGGTCGGCCATTAATTTGAAGAAAAAAAGAAATAGATTATTGGACGTGGAATCGCATCTCAGACTAAAATTGACCACAAGAGAACCGAATTATGATTAACTGTTATCACAGCAAAGAGAATATCATCCTTCTCACTGACGCAAATAGACTTATTAACAAAAATGTATACCAAAAAATAAAAATAAACATATTTTTAAAAAAATACATTGATTTTTTTATTAGTGGTACACAGCGTTACGAAAAATTTAGAAGGAGACACAAAAGTCGTAAGTTTGGGAAACACTGATTTACACCACAAATAAAATCTTAAAACAGATATATATAGAAAAAAAATCCATCCTTAATAATTTACTTTTTGCAATTAAACTAGTATACTTGCTATAAGGTTTGCTCCGCTTTCTGCAGAAGTTTTAATAAATTAGAAGTGAATTAACACGTTCACGCCGGGAAAAGTGAAAATACTGGTAGAAGAACTATTTCAATATTAGATAATATTCGGGAGGAGTTAATCTGTTCTCAACAATAACAATTCACTGTAAGGAAATTTATCACGGCGAAGAAGCAATTCAATATGTAAATTGCATCCGTTAAAAACAATTGGTAGTTATGGATTTTTATTATTCCCGGAAAAAAACTAAACAATGAAATTTAATGTTACCAGTTTTTTCTCCGGTGCGCTGCCAAGATGGCGTGACCCACCGGTGGGTCACCCCAGCGTGAACGTGTTAAATAATAAGCCTTTAGAATAAGGATAGTTACGCACATTCTTTAAAAGAGTAACCCCGATATAAATGTATTTATTTCTTTATTGAAATTACATACATTTGTAGGCTGGTGAGCTCAATCTAGGTTTAATAACCTTTGTCTAATAGAAGGACAGATAAAACAATTCAGAGAAGGACGTCAGGAAGAATAAATACATCCAGGATTACGGCGGGATTCGGACCTGCCACCTCCACGCTTCACACATCGTTTGGCGGGAGATGCCTCTTGGCCAGGGAGGCCCGAAGAGATAAATTAAGTAAAATTGTATGAGCCATGATAGCTCAGGGGATACAGCGTTCGCCTTTTAATGAGATGACCGGGTTCGAACAACACCTCCTAGAAAGAACAGGCCTCAGCACGGGTTACCATAAATATCCCCTAGTAGTCCAAACGTAATGACATATTTTGTATTTTCAACCACTGTAAGTACCCCCAATGTAATTACATCTTTCTTATTTTTCGTCTACTCCGCAGTTAACTTCGTCACATCGGACTACTAAATTTATCCGTGCTGAGGCCTTTCTACTTCTAGGAGGTGTTGGTTCGAATCCCAGCGATGGCTGATTGACACGAATTCCGCATCCGGTTTAGTTCAGCCGCAGTGCTGACGTAAAATATCCTCAGTGGTAGACGGATCATGGGTTAGAGTCCCCTTGCAGTCAGGATAACCGTGGAAGGTTTGCGTGGTTCTCCTCTCCATGTAATGGAAATGCGAGTTAATTCCATCAAAAAGTCCTCTACGAAGACAAAATTCACTCATTAATTCATCCAGTAGCTCCTTTGCCTTCTGAATCAGGTTCAAAATTACAAGGTTACGGAGTCAAACATCAGTAGTCTTAAACCCAAAAATTGGATCAGCTGTTCAACGACGGTTATAAAATAAAATATAATGAAATAGTATTTCATAGGATACTTCGAATTTTTTATTTGTAGTGATGAAAAAATTACTTAAAATGAAAAATACTTAACTAAAAATAAATTAAATTCCGTTGCCACTTTAAAATACTTTTTTACAAAGCGTATCAAGCTGGCATTACTATTAATACTTTCAGATAAACTCTACAGACAAACTCGACTTTAGATAAACTCTACAAATATGATTAAATAATATATATGCTCTTACTAAGTATCTCTTTTTATTTCAATTGCTTTGTCCCAATTTATGACATCAACACGAAGCTGGGATCTCTCTGACCGAGTGGTATTGCCCATCTGACGCTATGTTGTGTGAAGGTAGTAGGTTCGATTTTCGTTATAACCCTAAATGTATCTTTCGTGCTGTCTGTATTTCTACTTGACGAAAGCTTATAAGTCTTAATTGAACACGCAAGCTTGCTGAACTGCTCATGTATCCGTACCAATGAGACCCCTCTTCGATATTATAGTTCAAACATGACACACATTACGAAGTCAAAATATTTATTTATAATTTTGGATATTCAAAATAATAATTTTACTGTACATAAGCTATTTTAATTACAATAAATCAAAAGATCAGTTTATAATACAAATGGTTTATAGTTTTTGTTGATAAGACTATCTTGATTAACTGATTTTTACATCGAATATGGTTACTAGCTGCGAACTCCAAGATCACTGAGTACGTTATCAAGCAAGCCCCTGACTCCTTCAAAATTGAAAAATTTTCATTAAAAACATTCCAAATTAGACTTTATGTTAAAGCAATCAATAAAAAGTAAAATCAATTTTTTTTAAAATTCTTAACCTTATCGGGGAATATAAGGCAGAGACTAACACAAAAATCATTTTTTATCGAAATTTAGAGCTATTAAAAATTAACACCAATTTACACAAAAAATCTTACTAAAAGAATCTTCTAAAATTAGCCAATTTAAAAGAAAAGTACCATAAATTTAATATTTTTTTCAAAAATATAAGCCTTGTTTAAAGTTTAGTTTTAAAGTTCAAAAATATAAAATTCAGATTGAGAAATAAGTATAAAAAAAATAAAGCATATAAAAGGTAACCAGGCCAGCTTTTTGCAAAACATTTAAGTACATAGAGTGGTACGCAGTCAAAAAGTAGAGCTTTCAGAATTTTCGGTAATTTTGCCAACATTTTAAAAGCCTCACCACGAACCTTTGAATCATTTACGTGTATTGCCCGGGATAGTCTGTTTGGCAGGGCGCTGGACTCACGTTTGTGACAACGGGAGCTCAAGACTCCCCCGTGTAGTAAATGGTGGCTGGTGCTATTAAATCTGTCGGGTCACAAAGTCCTCCATGTTCCCATAACAAATCAAACCTCTGGGGGTACTGAATTGAAAATGGATCGTTCTCCTGTTCAGGTCAAAATTGCGATCTGTGGATGAATGAATAAGTGTATGAATGGGTCCGCCCTATAAGCGGGTGTGACATATGGATGTGGCAGAAGTCGAATTCTTGGCCATAGATGGCGCCACTGGAAAACAATAACAATCGCACCCCCTCTGCCTTAATGGCCGACTACAACAACAACCATTTGGAAGGAGTTTCGGGTGTAAAATAATTTAAATTGACGAAAGAAATAATCGCACATTAAAACATATACTTAGGTTACGATTAGAACAGGGCTTCCAACTTTCTACACTTTCTGTAAAAATTTATTCTAATGGTGCCTAAGTTTATGTTTAATGTATTATTTATTATTCATTTCATTTATTAACCACGTCACTACATAAAAGTGATTTAAAAGTTCATACGCAACGCTACTTTGTTCTAGCTCTAACGTGGTGAGGCTTCTAAAATTTTGACAAATTTCAAAAACTCTGAAAGCTTTGATTTTTGACTGTCTATCACACTGTAAAATATTTTGGAAAAAGTGCAGTAGTTGGCAAATCCGGCTAGAAGTGATTAAACGCGATGAACAGGGTTCCCACAAGCTCTGAAAATTTTAAAAAGTGGTAACGAAAATAAAACATAGTCGATATTTTAATTTCTGTGTTACCACCTCTAAAATTTGCTTTCAAAAAAAAAATAATAAAAATATATATTTTTAAATATATAAATATATATATATATATATATATAATCTGTG